TTTTTACCTAAACCCCCCCCTAACCCTACCCCTCACAGAAAACTTTCTGCATTTTTACAATAAAAAAAAAAAAAAAAAAAAATCATAATTTAGTATGATTTATAAGGTCAACATTTTCAGGTATTACTATAGTGAATAATACCAGGGCCACACACACATTAAAATCTCCATTCATCCATAAATACCATCCTGTTTTTTTAGGTACAACAACTAAGCTGTATGTCACCTTCCTTTATAAACTTCATCATTTGGAAAATCTGACTAGACGTGAATAAACGCTTGTGTGCCAAACATTACGCACAAGATGATTATACTTACTCCTTTATTACAACTCTAATTCACATGAATATAAAGTCTAATGTTTACCTCTAAATATGCAAATCTGTTTGATCAATTTTGTACTTATTATTAATAATATATTATATATTCATTTCTAATGACTATATTATATAGGAAATGCTTTCCCTCCTTAATCCCTCCAAATCAGGCTGGATTATAGGCTTTATACCTAGATATTTATTTGAGTGTAAATGTATAACAAATGTGTAAATTTATACAAAGAATAAGATACAACTGATTATATATTCATGATATGCTTTAATATCCTATGTTAAACATAAATGTTGATGGTCTAATAATGTAGTTATTATGAAATGACCTATAAAGTAACTGTCATCTAATACCATAATCCACTTGCACTTGCACCTTCTCTTATTTCTTTTTAGTGATCACTATCACATGTAGATAAATTTAAAACTTTTTTATTATTTTTTTTTTTATGATTAATTTTCGGACCAATTTTACTTCAGATATTATGAAATAGCCGGTTAGCATGCTAGTTCACTTCAGCTGTACTGTTCGATAGGGAACAGCTAGCTAGCTAACCGCTAGCATTCAGGCTAACACAATAAACTAAACTTACATATTTTAAACGGTTTGATAAATGACATTTGTCATGAGGAAACATGTTTGCATATATAGCAATAAAAAATATGTTTTTTGCTAGAGTCAGTCTTTGAATCATGATCAACCTTGTGGATCAGCAGGTGCAATATGTGATGCGTCACAGGGATCGGACTGTCATATCATGTTAAATATCACCATTTATTAACATCTTAGATGATACTGTGTAATTAAATATTTAAGTATTGTTATTTTGAGCTTTACTGTTGCCATAGCGATTTCTGTTGCGACACAAATAACTCATCTTGGAAACTCCAGATATAAACAATCTATACGATCTCCCGATGTTTTGCAAGTTGGGCATCAACATAAGATCTGTACATTTACACACAATCCATAACATAACTATTATTATGCTTATTTAAATGAATTTTGATTAAGTTTACAAGGCACTGAATAAGCTTCATCATCTCACCTGCGAGACTTCATATTGGCCATGACAACTGTGTTCAAGTCCAGTTCGTTTCAAAGGGAAATGTCTTTAAAACATCCAATGTTGCAATTCTTCTTGAAATCAAAACACACAGCTGACATTTATCCACACATGCTAATGTCACACATGTATCTGTTTTCCGTGAAAAGCTTCAGATCCGTACAGTCACATCCCCGAGAGCAATTTTACAATAAATATGACAAAACGAAAAACGTCCTTCCACAATGCTTGTTATTAAATAATAAAAGCCAAAAAATAATACTTCCAATGCGATCTCAAAATGGTGAAGGTAAAACATCCATTAATATAACTCTGTATTAGTCTTGCGCGCCTTGAACGCACACACACCCCTCTGTACTGTCACTCTGTACTGTGTTCTCAGCGTGTGCGTTTTTTCCACTCATTCTGTTTCATTTTTTTTGTCCATCCCGCCGAATCTCGCGCCCAGCCTTCTTCCGGAAACGGGTTTGAATCTGCGCACGCGGCCTCGCCGCTGATTGGTTGAAACAGGTGGGCGGAGCAGCGCGCTCTTGTTGTTGAGCAGCAACTGGTCTGTGTCACTCGCTGACGCCTTTTTATTTGCATGCAGCTAGTGGTAGTGTGAGATTACTTTACCGCCTAACCTTATTATGCTTAAATAATTAAGTTGAAGGTATTTTGTAGCGAAGAATATATATTTTTTGGCAGGTTCTGAATATTGTAATTTACAGCACTGCGAAGTAAAAATATTCTTATTGAACGTATCACAGAGCTTTCTAATTATGTAAGTCCATGCTGCCCTCTTGCGGATATTTTGTGATTTTTTTTTTGTCTTTGGAAAATTAAACATTAGTATATGTTTTGTTTGACATAAAATGTATTTGTTAAAAACAAACAGACAAATTATTTACAATTTAACACATTTTAATAAACGTTTGCCTTGCAGTGTTACATATTTCCTACATGCTTTGCTATTTTAGATGAATTGCACTTTCAACAGACATTCTGTATATTGTGTGTGTGTGTGTGTGTGTGTGTGTGTGTGTGTGTGTGTGACCCTGGACCACAAAACCAGTCAAAAATTACATTTTTTTGAAATTGAGATTTATGCATCATCTGAAAGCTTAATAAATAAGCTTTCCATTGATGTATGGTTAGGATAGGACAATATTTGGCTGATATACAACTATTTGAAAACATGGAATCCGAGGGTGCAAAAAAATCGAAATATTGAGAAAATCGCCTTTAAGCTGTCCAAATGAAGGCCTTAGTCATGAATATTACTAATCAAAAATTAAGTTTTGATATATTTATGGTTGGAAATTTACAAAATATCTTATATATATACAGTGGGTACGGAAAGTATTCAGACCCCCTTAAATTTTTCACTCTTTGTTATATTGCAGCCATTTGCTAAAATCATTTAAGTTAATTTTTGTTCCTCATTAATGTACACACAGCACCCCATATTGACAGAAAAACACAGATATTTAATATAGTATATTAGTATAATATCCTACATGCCTTTCTATTTTTGTCATAATTGTACTCCATCATATTATATACAAATTTTGAATATAATATTATATATAGTTGTCACAACAGAACCTAAAAAGTCAAACAAATATGAAACAAATATAAATAATATCAAATGTGACTGATAGTATTCGTGACAGTTCTGCCGCTAGATGGTGGTGTTGTTTATGTTCCTTTACAACATTATTATTCCTCGTCCCCCGCGTTTAGTCGCGTGACTGATTGTTTCGGAACTTCGGAACAAACGTCAATGTGTCTTTATTTCATCGGCGGCTCATTGGTAACATGATGAATGTTGTCTTTTCAGTTAAGCTGGATCAATATTTAGTTCCCAGACACGCCGAGTTTGATTTTTGAATTGTTGCACTTCCTTTGCCTCCCGACACGTCACTGGAGCCAGTTGGATGGAAAGAGTGAGAAAATAATAAGGCAAGTTGTGTCTTTACTCTCTTTGAACAATCTGAAGCACGCGAGTGACTCTAGAAGTATGTCGGTGGTTGTAGTAAGTGTTGGCTGTAACAGGTCCATTCTCTGCAATAGTACTACACAATGTACATTACGTAATAAAATGATTTATTGATTTAAAACAGCCTAGCCCAATGCCAGAAATACAGGGCTCTACAAAAAAAGAAACAAATGTCAGCCACAGTCAAAAGGAATTTGCTTTGGTTGGTTTCAGTTTACAGTAGGCTACTGTTTCTTACCTTCGGAAAATGTAGTTGTAAGAAAATTCTTATTTACACCATATGGCTATCAGGATTTAGAAAATGTAGTGTATTTTTTTTTTTCAGTCATTCCTGTCATTTGAATGAGTTGTGCAACAGCAGTGCTAATATATTTTTTTAGCTAAATTAAAAAAATACTATTTTAGGTTAATAGATAATATCACAAGAGCATATTGTTCTTGTTAAGAGATACAGACCAATAATCTGTTTGTCACTATTTTACGTAATCAGTTATTGTTTTTCAATATCAGCTGCTAATAATAAGCACCCAACAGCTATTATATTATTTTTTATTTATTTTATTTTTATTTTTTGTAGTCACATTATTTAGTTATATTATTAAATAGAAATAATGATACAATAAATGAAAACAATCCTGCATTATTGGACACTTAAAATAATATATACTGGTAAACAATATGTTGTTCAATATGTAATTATGTAGTATTATTATATTAGATTGAATTGATTTGCATATATGTTCCTACACCGTTTTAACAAAAAAGCATTCAGATTTAAATTAGAGAAATGTCATGTAATGGTTGCTTATTGGGAAATGAAATTATGAATCTTACTTGGGCTGTGTCATTTAGTGTCCATGAGCAATAGCCTACGCAATGTTGACAGTTGAACTAAAAATGATATGACCAAAAAGTGAAATATTCACCAAGCCTTCCGTTAGAATTTTTTATTGGAAGTTAAACTGTTATAAAGAGAAACATTTACAGTTGGTTGCTTTTTTTTAGATTTATCTCTTTCTAACAGTAGGATTACTCTAAATGCGAGATGAAACCAGAGAGTTTCAAAGGCGAACCTGTACTGATGCATTTTTTGCACAGCATGAATCTAGATTTTAATGTGTGACGTGCCTGTGCAAGTTTATACCTGTTCCTTTGTACTTTCTTTTTGCTGCTCAAATCTGTTTGAGTGTTTGAGTTGTTGTTATAGGATGAGGTCATATAACAGTAACCTTTTGACAGCTCCAATGTAGTGATGACATTAACTAAGTTTCTTAAAATTGCATAATAATGAGCCTGGATCTGTTCTATTTTTTTCCCATATATTATTTTGTTCATTTGAAATATGCCCTTTAGAGTGATCTTTCATTTCTCATGTCATGCATAAGGAACCCGGCTTCTTGTTTCAGTTTAAAGGTGAAGTGACTCTCTTACTTGGCTCTGACACTGGAACAGACATTTATATGAATGTGTGCTATGCTTCCTGGTGGCTGTTTTTAGATGAACAATACATGAGACATCTTGTCTGCAGGTAAATCATTAGGGCTGGGCAGAACAGTGAATTCATTTACATATTTAAACCAGTACCTACGTATGCATGCACGCACATGCACATTTAAATATGCATGTGTGGTTTCAGAAGTAGTCCATTAAATCATTAAACTATCCAAGTTTTTGAATAGTTGACCACGCAGGCAAATAAACCTGTAACATTCCTCCAAGTTCGCAGGAATGTAGAAATACAGATCGCAGTGATATGGTAAACGGTGTCTGCAACTGCTTCAGTCTGTTATCTCATCTGCACACATTTAGTTTGTATTTCATGTCACGCAATACAAGAGTAACCCCGGAGGGTTTAAAATAATCTCACTGCTTGTTTTAAAAAATTAGTATTGTATTATGTATAAAGACGTCTATTATTCTATAAAATTGTCTGTTTTTCTTTCTGTATTGTTTTGGTGCTCACCAATTTGATGGGGTTAGTGCATTTAAATCCAGCATTTCTTTACATTCTAAATTATTATGAAGTATTTATTTATTATTTGTTTATCATTAATCACATTTTTGGAACATAATAAATCTTTTTATTGTTTTTGTAAAATACCAGAATTTATTTATATATATATATATATAATTAAAATATTAATTAAATTAATATTAAATACTATATATAATTACAGTATTATTTACTTCATTAAAAAAAAATATGTTTCTACTTTCTACCTTATATATAAATATATGTGTATATTTATATGTATATTATATAGTAAATGTATATATTTATAATGTACATATTTATAAAAGTATATGTAAGTTTAAAATATAAACCTCAGAACCCCCCAAAAAATATAAATCTTTCTAATATTATATTTTTTGACCTGGCATTAAAGTAATATTGTTGCTGAAAATGCTGATTTTTTTCAGTCAATATACAGAAGAATGTCCTTATTTCATGCTTGAACAATGATTCAAAAAATAACAGAAAAAGTACTGGCAGCCAGTGGTGGACGAAGTACACAAATCAAGTACTTGAGTAAAAGTATAGATACGTATAATAAAATATTACTCCAGTAAAAGTAAAAGTACTCAGTTTTCAATTTTACTCGAGTGAAATGAAAAATTTACTTAAGTACAGTAACGAAGTAAAACTACTCCGTTACTGTCCACCACTGCTGGCAGCTCATTACACACAACATTATCCATTAATTTTATGGACATTTCTGTTAACTCTAAAACACAATGCAATGAAATGTAAAATTCGAAATACTAGTAAAACACCTGTAAAAAATGAATACGGAAAAATTCCTTCAAATTATGCAGTATATTGTGCCCTATTTTACAGATTTTTTTTAGAGTGTAGTTTAGTCTTGAGAGGTTCCTCCTGGCCTTTAAATAAGCATCTTGCAGGTACAGTGCAGCATTATCTAAAAATACCTCTTGTACCTCAGAGGGGAAGGGGAATGTCGCCCACCCAGTGAGCATTCGCGTGTTGCGCTTGACAGAGGGAGTATGTGGAAGTGGCATATGAAAGAAAAATGTCCCCGTTTGCTCCCTCCCAGCTGGAGAGAAGCAGAGGGGAGGATGAAAGAGAGTGAGGAAAAGAGAGGTGGAGACTCATCGCTTGGCCGCCCAGACTGAGGCTCCTCTCTGTGTTTATGCCACAGTTGATTAGTGACTCTTGAGTGGCCTTCCTGTCCTGTTATACAAGGCCCAAAGAGCCCTCTGGAGCTAAAGTGGACGCTGGACACTGCTGAAAAGAGCGCTTGTGAACATCTCACTTATGTTTTGGTACGTTTGTGTTCTGTGCAGGACTAATGGAGAGTTACCGTCAGAATCAGGTGTGCCAGAGAGGCAGGGAAGCGATCTGAGGACCTGTTGCATCTATGAGCCGTTGCTTGTGAGACTCTTGAGAGGTCTCAGGATGGAGGAGCAACCAAGCTGCCCCAATGTCAGCATTCCCTGCTCCAATGAGCAGAGAGACAAGAAGAAACGCTATACTGTGAGTGACCTCTGATGCTCTTATCTACATTTTGAAAGCTCTGGTTCGCTAAGTTGTAGCACCGGATATGTGACTGTTTTAATCCTTGTCTTGTTAGGTTTACAAAGTAATTGTCAGTGTTGGAAGGCATGAGTGGTTTGTGTTCCGGAGGTATGCAGAATTCGACAGACTGTACAACACCGTAAGTAAACTGAGTTGTAGTCAATGTGAAAAGACAGGCAGACTCCACTGTAACTATGATTTGTTTACAGCTATTTTTAAGTGACATTGATTTTGGTTTGGAGCTTTTTTCTAATGAAATATTCACATATGACCAAATAATGTAAAGTATAAAACTGATCATCTTTTTGAAATGTATATTCAAAAAGGAATATGCTTTTATGCTCACCAAGGCTGCATTTATTTAATCAGAAATACAGTACTAATGTGAAATATTATTAAAATGTAAAATAATTTTTAAAAATCAGTTTGAATATATTTTAAAATGTAATTTATTCCTGTGATGGCAAAGCTGAATTTTCAGCAGCCATTACTCCAGTTTTCAGTGTCACATGATCTTTTGGAAATCATCCTAACATGCGGATTTGCTGCTAAATAAAGATTTCTTATTATTATCAAAGTTGAAAACACTTGCCCTGCCTAATATTTTAGTGGACGCTTTTTACAGGATTTTTTCATGAATGGAAAGTTCAAAGGAACAACATTAATTTGAAATACAAATCTTTTGTAAAATAATGTCTTTACTGTCACTTTTGATCAATTTAATGCATCCTTGCTAAATAAAAGTATTAATTTCTTTAAACAAATCGTACTGACCCTAGACCTTTGATAATAATGTGTCTTTTTGCAGTTAAAAAAACAGTTTCCTGTTCTGAATTTGAAGATTCCTGCTAAGAGAATATTTGGAGACAACTTTGACCCAGGTATTTTACAGTTCCTTGATTTCTCATGAAATAAAATGCATATTGTTCAGAGCTCACTGGAACTTTTGTCATCTCGTGCACATACATTAGTGACTTCGCTTCATTTAGCTTAACAGAGATCATGTGTATTTGCCAAATTAGATTATCCAACAGTGTTCCATACAGAAAATCAACCATGCTAAATCCGCCCTGCCCCGAGCCCATAAAATCTTTGTCCTTGTTTAATCTCATGTTATGCTCTCAGACAATGTGGCAGCAAAATTGTGTGCATAAATAACAGAATGAGAATGCGCACCCAAGAACCAATTGTATTTAGCTCATGTGCGACCAATTACGTGGCCAGTATGCGGTCAGGATCTTTTTCATGGAGAAACCATGAGTCTGGCCATTGAAAGCACATGCAAAATTTGTGCACATGTTGTTAAGTATTCTCCACCATTGGTAAGATTCTCTCTCTCTTTCTGCTTTTCTCTTTCCCCCTCATTCTCTCTAGATAATTGCTGTCTCGCTGGACAATAGCAATCTAATTATTTGGTGCACATTTATACAGTAGTGTCCCATGCTGCACTGAGAGACTTAGGCTAATGGTTTTGATAAGTGACTGATAAATTAGTTATTTCCCAAAGGAGGTGATGGTTATTGTGAGTAGTTCTCAAAAATGTCTCTCAGGTCTGTTCTGGTCATGGGCAGCATGATATATCAGACATATCAGATGCTTACATAAGCACTTTGGATGAACCACAATGTATATTTGCGTAAATGTGACTTGCTGGAAGTTCCAAATTAGGCAAATGCCAGTTTGGACAGGTTGCTTGACTTCTGAAAAAACCCTGCTTAGTTAAAAAATCATCCAGACTACATCAAATATGAATTATTGGCTACCAAAAGCATGAAACCAAAATTCAAGAGGCTTTCTGAAACCAAAATTGTACGTTATCTTAGTTACCATATTGTCATGGTAACAATTTTGGCCAGTGCAGTTCATAATAATATTAAATTAAAAGTATATACATTAAAAGTGTAGTGTCGTCTGTCTCACTACTTGATGAACTTAAAATCAGGCAAAATCGGCTGAGGACCACTACTATGCAAATTAAAAAAAAAATGTTCTTAAGCTAATTTGCACCTATATATTTTGTTTAATTCTTAGAGTTCATAAAACACAGAAGAGCGGGGTTACATGAGTTTATTCAGAAGATTGTGTCCCATCCACAGCTCTGCAACCAGTGAGTATATCAGCCAGTTACTGTTGCTTCAGTTTTTATCACCACTCACAGTGTCAGTGCATCTAAATGTATGTCAAATTTGAGTGGGATTTACAATGGAAACCTGCCAAAACCAGCCACAACCAGATATCTCTCTGAACTTTGAGTACAAAGCGGTTCGATTGTATCTTGTGAACCTGTGCCAAATAAAAGATGCTTCTTTTTGATTCTCTGTAAAATTTGCCATGGTTACGGTTCTTGTTACAGCGAGTTGTTGATGTTATCTCATATTCCTCCTCACAGCTGTGGCTTTGTATTGCCTCAGTCAGACCTCTAACATGTGAATGTTCATTTCAAATGCGCAGTCCGGATGTCAAAGACTTTCTGCAGATGGACAAATCTAAAAACTTCTCTGATGCCTCAGAGGATGAAGATGATAAGGTTGGTATATGTACTAATGTTATGTTTTTAATGTATAACAAATTGAGTAAGTGAATCTTCAAATCTTCATTCTTTTCTTTTTGTCTTGCTTGTTAGCTTTATTCACAGGCATTAAGTGTTATATAGTTATATTTTAAGCATTTTAACATGCTACAGTTATTGATAAATTCAATGCATTATGTATAGTTTTTTTTTTTTATGGAAAATCCTTTCTAAGGACCCAGTATGCAGTATGCAGGACCCAGTAATCTCTATTATGCATATTTTTTCTGTTTTTCTGTATGCAATTATATTGTTGTACTGTCCAGATACAAATAAACTCTAAATAAATAAATACTAAGTGCATGTTTTACTACTGCTTTTTAATGAGTTTTATCTAGTTTTGCCATATCTCTTACAGAGTACCTCTACCTCGAGAAATATAAACCTAGGGCCATCTGCAAATCCACAGTAAGTGTTATAGAATTATTTTAAACAATTTATTGCTTTTGTATAATGATAAATATTGTATTTATGTCATAATTTGGATGCAAAACATTAAAGTGGTAGAAATTAATGATCCATATGCTTTCATTTTAGCCTTAATCACTGTGTTTTTTCAACAGTGCAAAGCCCACTGACTTTGACTTTCTTAAAGTCATAGGAAAGGGAAGCTTTGGGAAGGTAAGTTTTCTTTTTAAATAAAATGCCTAATGATGGAAATGATCTGAAATGTGTGACTTCCACAGTTTGTGAGAGAAAGTGGGTCGACTCAATCCCTTTTGTGTTCATTTTGAATCAGTTACTGAAAGCTCTGAATGTCACTGAGGCTTAATATATTCTCTGTTTTCTTTGCTGTACGGTAAGCCACAGCGTTTGTTTCTGAGCCACGGACTCTCCATTTAGGAAGTGAAAGTTTCTCAATTTTGAAGTCAAAGCTTGTCTTTTTTTATGCCCATGGGCAGCCGTATTGGAAGGTGAAACTTGCTAACCCACCGTGTTCTCTCCCACACAAAGGTTCTTCTTGCAAAGAGGAAATGGGATGGGAAGTGTTACGCCATCAAAGTCTTGCAAAAAAAGGTCATTTTAAACAGGAGAGAGGTAATGATTTTCTTTGTTTTAATACCTACTCTTTCTTTATGCTCGCTCTGTTATGTTCTTTGACATTTGATTAACGAATTCCCTTGAAATTTATTTTCACGCCAGCAAAAGCACATTATGGCTGAACGTAATGTGTTGCTAAAGAATGTTAAACACCCCTTCCTGGTTGGACTGCACTATTCCTTTCAGACAACAGACAAGTTATACTTTGTCCTGGATTTTGTCAATGGTGGAGAAGTGAGTATTTGTGGTTGAGAAGCTCAAGGCTGACATCTGCCTTATCACATCTCAAAAGCCACTATTTGGCAGAATAAACCAATATGTTATAAATATAGCTATTGCTGATGCTGACAGTGACATTTGTCATTTTATGACTTCTTAAAGGGACAGTGTACCCAAAAATTATGTAAATGTCATCATTTACTCATCCTCATTTTGTTCCAAACCTGTATGACTGCCCTTTTTTGTGGAACACAGAAGAAATATATTTTTGAAGAATGTTTTTATTTGTACAGTGAAAGTCAGTGGGGATCTCATTGACTTACATGTTGTATACCACCCAAAACATAAAGTCATAGAGTTTTAACAGACATAAAATTAAGTAAATGATGACAGAATGTTAGACTTTTTTTGGTGAACTATTCCTTTAACAAGGAAATGCAGGGGATTGTCATGTAACATGTAAATCAGATGATGAAGCCAGTGCATGACTGTTCCTAATTTATGGTCATTTTATTGGCATTTTGCAGGGTTCCTATTCACAAGCTCAATTAGACCACTGGTCTGACTTCCTGTTTTTAGCTAAAAGTCTGCTGACGATATTTTAAACATCAGCTAATGAAACACCACACCAATAATTGTGAGGCAGGCTACAAAATAGACATGATGTAATGGGTAACCTGACTATTTTCTGCATTTATGCATTGAATATTACAACGTTTGATTCTTTCCATTACAGCTTTTCTTTCACCTCCAAAAAGAGCGGACCTTTCCTGAACCCAGAGCGAAGTTTTACATTGCTGAGATGGCAAGTGCTTTGGGTTACTTACACTCTCTTACCATTGTTTACAGGTAAATGCAGCTTTACTAAAGGATCACTTGTGTTATAAATACGCCTGTTTGGTGATTCTAGGATGATGTTTAACTGTTAAAGTGTGTGAGAATTCCCAGAGGCAGTGGAATGTTTAACAGACACATTCTACACCTCCTCCCTCCTGTGGTTTTCCCAGTTGCTGCCCAGAACGTATTTGAACAATTTTGATTGGTGAACTGGCTTAACTGTAGTCATTTAAAATTACACTCACGTGTGAAATGACCATCATGAGAGCATAGTTTGCATTCATAGGGTGTGACACTATATGACCGCAAGTAATTGCTCTTCATCTGAATTAAATGCATTATGAATAGCTTGTCTTGTCATATTATAATACCTATACCTATAATTCATTGTTACGATTTTTCTGTGTAAAGTTCTGTGTAATGATTTTTAGTTGAATTGTTCCTGGAAAGATATGACAAAATGCTAACAAGTTAAGTGTTCTTGTGTTCCCAGGGATTTGAAACCAGAAAATATCCTGCTGGACTCTCAAGTAAGTGCTCCTCTTTTTTTTCCACACTTTTATCATTGCCAGAGCGTAGCTGATCAATGTTGAGAGAGTTCCAGGGGAAACAGAGTAATCTACCCTCGCTGTGAAGTATAACAAACTCTTCTGATTTCCCGAGACGAGGTGTACAGAGTGTAGCTTTGGCTAGCCAAATGAAATATTGCAATGAAACTGAAGACTTTTTTTTTAATTTGTAACAATGCTTGAGATTAGTTTAAAGGTCCCATGACATGCTGCTTTTTGGATGCTTTTATATAGGCCTAAGTGGTCCCTAGTACTGTATCTGAAGTCTCTTTCCCGAAATTCAGCCTTGGTGCAGAATTTCAGCCACTACGAGCCAGTCCCACAATGAGCTTTCCTTAGGACGTGCCATTTCTGTGTCTGTAGCTTTAAATGCTAATGAGGAGGAGAGAGGCGGGGCAACTGCCATGCTTCGCTCGTTTGCAAGCCATGATGTCTCTCGAGGAAAAAAAAAATATTGCGCTCGCCTCGCATGGTAGTAGCTCATTTTCTCATGGGCGGGCCAAATTCTCTGGGCGGGCAAAGCAGAGAAAGGGGAGGTAATCTTTCCCCGTATGACGACATAAAGGGAAGATTCCAGATTGGGCCATCTGAGCTTTCATTTTCTCAAAGGCAAAGCAGGATACCCAGGGCTCGGTTTACACCTATCGCCATTTCTAGCCACTGGGGGACCATAGGCAGGCTAGGGGAACTCATATTAATGTTAAAAAACCTCATAAAGTGAAATTTTCATGCCATGGGACCTTTAAGTTTTATTTGTGCATTTCCTTTCGAATCTGATGAAACTGTGAAGTTACAAGGCCCTGGCAAATATTCCAGTCAGACACAAGATTCTTTGGCTCTGTGAAGAATAGGCCTTTTGTGTGGTGACATGCTTCCTGAAAATGTTCCTGTTGGCATCTTTTGTCTGTTAAGGGACATATAGTCTTGACTGACTTTGGACTGTGTAAGGAGGGCATCTCTCAAGCAGACACAACGACCACATTTTGTGGGACACCTGAGGTATTATATAATATAATTATGATGGATGAATGATGCTTACGTTACAGTTCAAAATTTGGAGTCAGTATGATTTTTTAAATAGGAAATCAATGCTGTTATTCAATAAGAACACATTAAATTGATCATTAAAGACTTAATGATCTGTTATTTTGTTCTCGCTCAAATAATTCAGGAAAAATGGATCACAGTTTCCATACAAATTTTAAGCAGTACAACTGTTTTCAAAAATAATTATACTAATAATTGCTACGTGTAATGCATTAAGCTAAGTGAGACTTGTTATAGCACTTGCATATCATTGCTCTTTTGTTGATTTTGATTGCTTGCATTGTCCTCATTTGTAAGTCGCTTTGGATAAAAGCGTTTGCTAAATGACTAAATGAAAATGTAATAAGAAATGTTTCTTGAGCACCAAATCAGGATATTAGAATGATTTCTGAAGGATCATGTGGCACTGAAACCTGGAGTAATGATGCTGAAAATTCAGCTTTGCCATCACAGAAATAAATTAAATTTTAAAATAGATTTAAATGTAAAACAGTTATTTAAAATTGTAGTAATACTTCACAATATTGCAGTTTTACTGTATTTTTATCAAATAAATGCAGCCTTGGTGAACATAAGAGACATAAAACGAAAAACTAAATCTTACCAACCCCAAATTTTTGTGTATTGCATGTTTTCAATTTTATGTTTGAAAAGTGTTTAACATATTACTGTGAAATGTTATAGTAAATATGTTCTGTTTAATTAGTTGTTGAATTTAAAAATAACTACTTATTGTGACTCTTATTATTAAAGCTGCAGTCCGTAAGTTTTGCCTCTTTGTCGCCATCTCTGTTTGAAAACCTGCAATTGCAGCTGTGTGCAGAATTATCTTCCTTGCGTGGGTTGTGTGGCGGCACGGCTCCAGCACGGATGAATCTAATGTTTTGGAGTATGTGTGGCAGTCAGTCACCGGCCGCACCGGTGTGGATATTGTACTTTGCACTCACAGATTCTAGCCTACGTCTTGGAATTTATGACTCAAATAAGCATTTTCACCAGATATTGTCATCTGAACAAGTAACAAGTCTGCCATGTTTGTTCTGACCAACTGAGGAAAAAAGCATTACAATAAATCACGCTACCAATTAATTTTTAACCAAAAAAAGTTACGGACTGCAGCTTTAAATTGTTACTGATTTGCTCATTATGCTTTCCTAGATTAAGCTCATTACATTTTCAGCAAATTAACTGCAAATAAACGTTAAGCTTTTGGGGGTTAGAATAAAACAAAGATTTTAATGCAATAATTGCTGTCTCTTGTTGTCACGATAGTATCTAGCTCCAGAGGTACTCAGGAAACAACCCTATGATAACACTGTGGACTGGTGGTGTCTGGGTTCTGTGCTGTATGAAATGCTTTATGGGCTGGTAAGTTACAAATCAACCGTAAATTTGGGTAGTTGTCTTTGAAAATGTAGGCAATGAAGCTTAAATCTTGTTTTACCTTTATGTCAACAGCCTCCATTCTACAGCAGGGACACACATGAGATGTATGACAACATTCTTCACAAGGAACTTGTCATGCGCCCCGGGGCATCCACAGCTGCCTGGTCCATCCTTCAGGCCCTGCTGGAGAAAGACCACACCAGGAGGCTTGGCTACAGAGATGACTTTGTAAGCTATTTAGTACTGATATATCACCCCCTGGTGGATGATTACGTAGAATATTACAGTAGCATCTCAAAAGGATTTCTGCAGATTAGTTTCCTATAATATATTACATTCAAGCAGGGAGTGTTGAATTGCATCTGCAGGGACTGCAGATGCAAATTAGCTTTATAGCTAACTCTGGCACAACACTGTTGTTGTGCGTTGTCCCTGTACAAATAAATTGAATAAATTAAAAAAAAAAAAAAATTTGAAAATATCTTGGAATATTAAAAAGTCCTTGTATGTTCCATTTGTTGCAGAATGAAGTCACAGAACATGAATTTTTCTCAACAATTAACTGGGATGACCTTGAAAAGAAAAAGCTTCCTCCTCCATTCAACCCTAGTGTGGTAAGACTTAGTTCAACCATAAATGAAAAGTTGCTGAAAATATACTCACCCTCAGGAAATCCAAGATATAGATTAGTTTGTTTCTTCATCGGAACAGATTTGGGGAAATTTAGCATTACATCACTTCCTCACCAATGGATCCTCTGAGTGAGTGCAGTCAGAATTAGTCTAAACAGCTGACAAAAACATCACAATGATCTAAAGTAATCCACATGACTCCAGTCTATCAGTTAATGTCTTGTGAAGTGAAAAGCTGTGCATTTGTAAGAAAGAAATCCATCAAGACCTTTTTAACTTCAAACCTAAAAATATGTGTCTATCCATAATATTGTTTTCTCCAGTGAAGACGTCGTCTCTTCTAAATTAGGGGAGAACTATACACAGATCATGCACCATTTAGTAAATGAAAATAGCCCAAAACTGTTCTAAATGTCACTAGATTTTGATATGAGAGGACAACAGTGGATGGATTTTTTTTTCACTAGAGGAAGTGTTATTTTGGTCTCATATTTTAGCCAGAAGTGTCAGTTTAATGTTAAAATGCCTTAATGGTGGATTTGTTTCTTAGAAACACGCAGCTTTTCACTTCACAAGACATTAACTAATGGACTGAAGACATTTATTTGTGGATTAATATGCTGTTTTTATCAGCTGTTTGGATTCTCATTCTGACGGCACCCATTCACTGCCGAGAATCCATTGGTGAGCAAGTGATGTAATGCTAAATTTCTCCAAATCTGTCAAAAAAAAAAACTAATTTTTGATGTTTTCAGCAAATTTTCGTTTTTGGGTAAACTATCCCTTTAACAATAACTATTTTGCTAAAGTTTCAAAAAACATATGCATAAGTGTATTCAAACAGTCATCTCTCTTATGTTGTCTTGCAGGAATCCCAGTATGACATCTCAAACTTTGATCCTGAGTTCACAGAGGAAACCGTGCCAAACTCTGTGTGCTTCTCTTCAGGGCAGTCAATTGTCAATGCTAGTGTTATGGAAGCTGATGATGCCTTCCTGGGATTTTCTTACGCTCCGCCGTCAGAAGATTCTTTCCTGTAAGGGTGGTGGTGCTGCTAATGGCGATCCACAGAGAGCTGAATGAAATGTCTGTGATCGCTCTCTCTGATGAAAGGGAAGAATTTGTTGAGCGCAATGTCATGATCAGAGGGTGGACCTTTGTGTTTCCTAACATAAGTTTTGGGATGCAGCATGCAGGGTGTTTCAAACTTTATTTTTATGCATAAATAATATTATATTTTGTGTAACATTGAACGCCTTCTCTGAGAGTTTAGCTCAGGAGCTGAAGTATTGATGGTTTTTTGTTTTTTTTTCATAAGAATGATTTTCAAGGGCTGATGATATTTGTAAACAAAATATCTACTTTGACACATTCCTTGTTTTGCCCCAACTCTTACACTTGATTGCTTAAATACTGTGCAGTATATGACCAATTATGTTCTTGTAGTTTAGTCTCTTATCAGGAATTAGCTATGGAAAAAATGTTCATATAATGTCAACGCAAGCAATAAAAAAAATTGCTGATTGACAAATTAATATATATTGCATTTATACTGTTTAATATGTATGAGTTAGAAAATAGGCAGAAGCTGTTTCGAAATCAATTGTTTTCGTGTTAGATTTTAATGAGTTAATAGCACTTAAATACTGACAATGACCCTGTAATAAACCACTGTTTCATTTCCCGCATTTTTTGATTATGAGATGAGACACCACAGTGCCTACTGACTTATGATACTGTACTGTACAGGTAAACATTCTTGAATTACTTGGCTGTCGCGTGATGCCTCTCATTTGCATATATTTGCATGTGTTATGCTACTGGGCCAGAGCTTCGAGCCCAGTTACCAAGCTGTGAAAGTAAATTTTATAGAACAATATGATAATAATGTTTTTAAATAGATGTGGTGCGTTACCAACTCATTGAATAATAAAATGTTTGTTCACAGGACACATCTCATTTGCATATATTATGAGCACGAGCTTCCCGCCCATATGTGTGTTATCATTATTAAAGAAAGAAATAATAAAATATGTAAATATTTGTCGTGTGGGTTACCTAAACTAATTGAATTCTGCACCGCCTTAAAGTTTTTATTTACAGGTTTTAGACGCCTTGTTGGAGGTTAACACATTCCACTTTGCTCTGATTTGGCTAACACGTGATACATATAATTTGCATATTGTATAGCCTTCCCGCCGCCCAACTACAGAGCTAGCGGTGCATTTCGGAGATATGGATGGGCTAAATTCTCTAAAAGAAGCAATAATTATTTATTTAGACAGAAGTGGTGGGTTAAGTAAACTCATTGAAGACTGTAAAGTCTTTAAAGGTTTGTTTATGAAGTTGGATGCATTATTAGTTAATTAGTTCGTTAATTAAAATACCTCAGTGAACAGGAGCTGGTGAGGACGCGACACGTCAGGGGTCCACTGTCTACATCCGTTTTTATCTGAACTTTAATTATTACATTTAAATTAAAATAAAAAGATGACTTGATGACTGTTTACACACTGAACAAAAGGGAAACATGTCTTTCAGGTGGACAGCAGACGGGGGCCGTGTATCGGTTCAGTTTCGATGTAAATCCCTCCGATGTGCTTGAACTGGACGCCACACTGGGAGACTGTATACTGCACGACCCTGTCAAAGCCGTTTCACTCTTTCAGTCAGTGAGTTTCACAAATAAAAATACACAAATACCCAACTTATTAGTCCGTTACACAACGATTGGTTATCTAAAATGGCTTAGAGTACATTTACATATCAACACAGTTACACAGTTTTCTGTTGTTGAAATGTATGGAATGGTTAAAAAGGGATATATTTTATTGTGCTTAACATATTTACATCTACTCTGTATTGAAACAAACAACTAAGAGTGCAGTGGTTATTTTTCAGGTTTGTTATCTGTCTATAAAAACGCTGTCACTTATTGACCACATTGAAACAGAAAACCAGGTAAGGAGCAGGTTAATTAATTGCAGATTTCACTTATTTTTATTTTTTCATATATGTGTGTGTGAGAGAGAGAATATATTTGGGTATACTTGAAATTTGCTTTGATACACATCAGTGTATTAAAATAGAAAAAACATAAGTTACATTTTTTCTGTATAGGTTAATGTTGTTTTAAAGCCAACCCACTTGCCACCTTTTCCCAACTATTGTTTGGATCTCTCCGAGTTTCCCCGTGGGTATGGTCCAATGAGACCCTTAGCTTTGGAGGGCCTTGTAATTGCCATGACACGTGTCACCAAATACACACAAGGAGCCAGATTTCTCTGCTCAGAAGAGAAATGCCCTTGCTCTAGAGGTAGGTAATGTTATTAACTTTATGGGCTGTTTTTGTAATTGTTGTCCTACATAATTTGTCAATTTGTCCAAAGGGTTTCAACATATCAGAGTTCATGCACCAGGTGCCACAGAGTCTGCCACAGTTAGGAGCGATTTTACCTGCTTTCTCTGCTCTTCTCTGCTGAAAGAGGATGTGAAGTCTCGGGTTTTAGGGGGTAAGACAACAACATTAGTTAAAACATATTAATTAAATATTATATGGAGTATAAACCTGAATCATGAAATGATTTAAAAAAATTTCATTTAGCAAGGATGCCTTAAATTGATCAAAGTTGACTATCAACATTTATGTTATTATAATGTCAAAAATTACAAATATTTCTATTTCAAATAAATGTTGCTCTTTTGAACTTATCAAAAAGTCTTTAAAAAGCCAACAGTTTCCACCCAAAAAAAAAAAAAGATTACACACAGAAATAATTTCATATAATATTTAATTACATAAAATGTTTGAATAGACAACATTTTAATTGTAACAATAGTTTTTACTGTATTTTGGTCAAATAAGACTTCTTATAAGACAAATAAGACAATAAAAAAATGTACTGACCCGAAACCTTTGCTTAGTATTGCAGTTGCGCACTCACTAAAAGACAGGACATGTCTTTTAATCCACAGATAAACAGCTAGTTGAACTCATTCATGTGAGAGCAGTGGATGTTTTGGGAGTTCATGATGCTGCTTCCTTAAGATATCAATCTGTCACCCTTTTTCTAAGAGGTAAATGCTTTTTGCATCTTAAATTACCCCTTTTTCTTTCTCGTGGTATTGCAAATAATCTTTACTTTTTAACTAACCATTAGGAAATAATCCAGTTAGTTTGAATCGTCATGCCTGATGAACATGTTTTTCATAATGTTGGAGCAAAGCTCTCAAATAAATAAACTGCCGAAACACATCCACTCACAGTGTCTTTCAGTATTAGATTGGGTGTTCCTGTCTCCTTCAAAAATATTTCTCAGTTAGCCAACTGGAGAAACCACAGATTCTCTGGACGGTATTAGCATATTGTGTTGATCTAGTATTAGTCTGGAATTCAATACGTCGGGCTCCAGTTACTGAACATACATGTTAATAAATGTAAGGTACACTCATTAGTTGCTACAACCCATAGTGGAATCATTGTTTAAAAGAGCCTGCAGTGTTTCTCTTGGCAGTTGTGTAGGTAGTGAACGTTTCTCAAATAATAAGTGAAGACCTGCTCTCAACTATCATTGTTTTGTTTCTCTTAATGTAATTAGATGAACTGTGCAACTCCATGAGAATCGGCCATCTGTACCAAGTTGTGGGGATTCCAGCTCATGTGCACCAGTGGCCCAATGTAACCTGGAGCGTAGAGGCTTGCAGCGTCCGACCATGGACCCCCAAATGTAAAGCCTTGTTTTGACTTTGATGGTATAAAAACAACCAGACTTATACTCAGCATGTCAAAGTCATTTGCTCCTGACTGCCTTTCACAGGCCCCTGTCTGGTTAGCAACAACTTCCAGAACCTTCAGACAGCCATGGCCTGTTCCCCATGGAGGTTTGCTGCCATTGTAGCCAACTCATTCGGTTCCCCGGTGATCCCACCTGGACTCTACAACACATTAAAACTGGGGCTACTTCTTAGTTTGGTGCAAACTGAAGATAATCCAGACTCTCCCTACCAACTGGATGTGCTTGCTCTCACCAGCGAGACTCTAATCATTGACAGGTCCAGGTTTTTCAAATGCACATGTCTCTTTAGATAATGGTCATCAAAATATGATGCATATTATGTGCATATTTATTCACAGGTTGATGAGATACAGCCTGCTGTTGGCCTCGCGTGGCATTCATCATACACTGAAAGGAGATCTGTCGGTATCTCTGTCTAGAGATGAACATGGAGCTGGTTCCGCTAACATCCATGCAGGTTCAGCTTTGCTGGCATCTGGAGGTGTCTGTCTGTTGGGAGATCTCACAACCTACAAGAAAGACAAGATGGACATGCTTCAGTCTGGTGCCAGTTGTTTAAATTATTTATAATAATGAAGGCACAAGAAAGAAATACATTATACATGCATTTTAAGCAATCAAGGAAAGCAAACCTATTTTTTCCCCTCAGCTCTCGAAAGCAGAACTGTGTCTGTTTTCATTCCTGCCAAGAAATATGGTGATGATATGGACCAGCAGCTCTCCTTCCCAATCCAGTGCAACTTTTGGGCCCTAGCTGATTCTGCTTCCCCCTCCAAGAGGACAGCCAGATGTGATAATGTGGTGCTGGGTTCTGTGGTGGGTTCATATCTAACTGTATTTATAGTCAAATGGAGCTTTTCCTCAGGAAATGAGATGGGAATGTTATTCTGGGAATTTTACAAGCTTATAGCACATACCACAGGACTGATCAGATGTAGAAAGAATGCAGGAATGCTTCACAGACGGCCCCACCTCTTTCTGTATTTGGGAACAGGAACCAGAGACAATGCCATCTATTTTAGGAGAGTTCCTCATTGTACTCATTTGTGTCAGTAGCCAAATCGCTCCCGTTACTCCAAATTGTCTAAACAATGACTTAGTGTTATTTTATAGTACAATGTCAGTGCTTCAATATAGATGTCATAGTTTTGCAGCATCTGCTTATCTTACAGTGATTTAGATTTTTATATAAATGCAGGAAATGGGCTCAGTTCCTCTTCAGCTTGCAGAGTCGTTTGGACTCGTAGTCCAGTGTCGAGAGACAAGCAGCAATCATCCACTCCTGTCTATGACAGTGCATACTCTGAGACAGGCCATGTCCCCAGGAGAGCCCCTATATCCAGCATGCATGCAGTTTACAACACAAGACTATAAAGAGGTCAGTCAATGCACACTACAGGTCAAAAGTTCTTTCATTCAGCTCAAATGATTCTGACTCTGCTCAGGAAACATTTATCTTACAATATTTACTTCCTTTATGAAGGATCATGTCACAACTATTTTAACTGTAATGATATTTCACAATAATACTGTTCTTACTGCATTTTGATCAAATAAACAGCCTTTGTGAGCATAAAAGACTTTTATAAAACACAAAAGCTTAATCCAAACTTTTTACCAGTAGTATATAATAAACTGTAATTGGGGTGCTGTTTCTTTGGTTTGAAAATTCTAGAGATCTTGAGTAACTTACATAATGTGGTTAGTAATGAAGATAGCCTGCTTTTTCCCCCCAAACTTGAATATTTTTTCCCCAGCTCTTGGCTCATGCAAGGGAACTAAAGGTGGACATGAGTCCTGAGGCTGAAAGGATGATCCACAGCTATTACATGGCCAGTCGCAGGGTTCGCTCAGACTCAACACAGAGATCCACTGTTTCAGTCACTTCCGTCAAACTGCTGTAAGCTCTTCAAAAACAAAATACTGACAGCTACATATGGCTGCCGTGTTATACCACTAGATGGAGCAGTTATATAACAAGTCTACAATTCAGCAGTTTCCAAAGGACTGAACAAATTTTGTGTAAAAAATATTTACATTACCATGTCAGTTTATTTAGACAGTCTCTTCCAAAACTGTAATATTTAGCTAAGGAACAGGCAACTGGTAGAAAAAAATAAAATAAAATCTAATTGCATTACATAAGCCTCTTCGGTTATGCAGATGAAGCGCACCATACAAGTAGAAAAATGACCATTTCATACACATGACATTTTCTGGTTCTGGCAGGATTGCTCTGGCCCAGGCTCATGCTAAACTCAGTCTAAGAACACAAGTTCTAGAGGAAGATGCAGTCATTGCAGTTCTGCTGTGCGAAAGTTCAGTCACCTTAAAACATGGTTAGTCCCCCCATATTTTTCTAAATTCTGAACAAATGGAACACAAAATAGTAAATGTTTCAATAAGAATTTATTTCAATATGTACATTATCATAACCCATTCACCTTTTAGCACTTCATTACTAGTTATAGTTAGGATCAAGCTCCTGTTTCAGTGAGTGCATATTCCTGAGTTTGAGAATGAGAAAGTTTGTCTTGGGAATGCAGGGGCCTCTGCGCTTGTTTTTCCACCCGATGCGGTGTTTCCCTGTGCTCTCCGTGACCTGGACTCCTTGCACCAGAGGGACCTTATGCTGGAAGAATCCCGCACACAGATCTCGCATTTTGTGCAAACCTATGCAACCTGCACAGTAGAGGAATAAACCAAAAAGGTATTACACACAGGAAAAACCATCTTTCATGGCAACAAGGGTTAAAACAACAAAAAAAAAACAAACACGACAAAATTTGGTAATCAACTGTGCAGTTGCTTCAGATAGTCACAGTGTCAGCAACCCTATCTGGTCTGATGGGTAAACGGCAAAAATTATATTCATCAAGGCAAGAAGCACACAGTCTCCACAACACACAATTGGCGGTTGAGGAAAAATTAGATGGCTGAACCTTAGAGATTCTCATTTTAAAGCAATTACAATGAATTAGGGATGCTCCGATCCGCCTTTTTCACCTCCGATACCGATTCCGATACCTAGGGTTCAGTATTGGCCGATACCGATCAAACAATAATTTTAGAAATCCAAACATTTAGTGAAAAAATATTTTGTGTGGAACAAATAAAAGGGCTGCACTAAATATGGTAAAATGTTACACATTGCTATTTGTATTATAAAACCCATTTAATGAAAAACATTAATGAATGTATTTATATACAAGTATAAAATTAAAATGCGTTTCTTTTAAATGTATAGCATATATTTTTTAAGGCAACAGCATGATAGATTCGATAGGTAAATACAGTAACATATGATAGATTCTATAACAAATACAGTGCGGCACGAAGCGCTTACAATATGCACATCCGGTGTGCAGAATGATGCGCTTGAAGCAACACGGAGTCACAGCACGCAGCGCTTTGCATTAAAAAGTGCAAAGCACAAAGGGAAGAGAAATTGATGCGTAGTGTATTATATCTGTGCAACAGTTATTGAGCCTTTATTTTAACAGTTTTACATTTCAGTTACTGTGCACGTTAAAAACAATTTATAGTCTTTTCTACACCCGTGTTTTGTTCTCACAGACACCCAGTAGCATATTTACCATAGACTGTATAAGGTATTTACGCTTTAAATTGGAAGGAAAACAGCACATCAGTGCAGCGCGGCTGACACGGAAGAGCCTACGCTGCCTGCGTTCAGAGCGGATATTCTCCAAAATGGTGCTACGGTGATGCGGAAAGACACACGACGAATTGTTGAATAAAGTCGTTATTTTTGTTTTCTTCGCGTACAAAAAGCATTCTCGTCGCTTCATAATGTTACGGTTGAACCACTGATGGCAGATGGACTATTCTGACGATGTCTTTCATACTTTTCTGGACCTTGACATGAAACGACATGGGGGTAAGTGATTACTGACAAAATTTTGCATTTTGAGGTGGAGTAACCCTTTAAGCTATGCTATGGCTTCAGAGCAGAGGTAACAATACGCACAATCTCGGATTGGCAAAAATGACAAAAAATGGCAGTATCGGAGCCGATACCCGATATGAATATCGGATCGGCGCATCCCTACAAGCCTTACTAAGCCAAGGTTAGTCAACTGTGCAGTTGCTTCAGATAGTCACAGTGTCAACAAACCAATTTGGTCTGACGTGTAAACGGCAGAAATATGAAAAATCATCATTGCAACAAGCATTTTGTCTTAAAAAAAAAAACCTTTGGCACTTAAAAAAAAAATAAATAAAAAATCTCACATTTAAAGCAATTACAACAAGTACACAGTAAAATTACCAGTTATTTTTCATTTGCACTTCTCATGTCACCCTTGTCCAGTGGCAATTCTTCCGACCTGGTGGGAGAAAAAGTAGGATCAATTTAATGCTGGTGAAATCTCAAATGGGATACGGAGTAACCAACTGTGCAGTTCTTCAGATAGTCAGTGTCAGCAAACCAGTTTGGTCTGATCGGTAAACGGCGGAAATGTGACATAAATCATAGGAACAGCAAACATTAAAAAAACATTAAATTTAAAGCTATTAATGCATGCATACCCATTTTAAAATTACCAGTTTTTAACTCATCTGCAGTTCTCATGTCACCCATTTCCAGTGGCAAATGCCATGATCCCTTCCATTGGCTGCAGCGATCATCTGGCTCCTTTGTGATTCAACAACAAAAAGGATAGATTTAATTTATAATTTAAAGGGGTCATATGATGCTGCTAAAAATAACATTATTTTGTGTATTTGGTGTAATGAAATGGGTTTCTGGTTAAAAAAACACATTATTTTCCACATAATGTACATTATTGTTTCTCCTCTATGCCCTGCCTTTCTGAAAAGCGCGGTTTAAAATTAAAAAAAACATTATTTTCCACATACTGTACATGGTTTCTCCTCTATGCCCCACCTTTTTGAAACACGTCGAGTTTTACAAAGCTCATTGGTCTGAAAAAGCGAGGTTTGCTGTGATTGGCCAGCTATCCAATGCGTTGAGGAAAAATTGAAAAATCGCATCATATGACCCCTTTAAGCTTCAGCTCTGCAGGTTCTCCAAATCTTCCGAGAAAAAAAAAGAAAAGAAAAAGGAATAGACCATTCTAAAAATGACCACCAATTACCCATGTTGTGTTTAAGCTATTAATTTTGTGTAGGGATGCGCCGATCCGATATTCATATCGGGTATCGGCTCCGATAGTGCCATTTTTCTCGGATCGGG